CTGGGGCAAGTCTGCAGGGCTCACCTCCCAAGTACCAGACCGGTGAGTGAGCAAGTGAGGTCCCAAGTGGGGGCTGCCAGGCGGGTTCCAGAACTGATGGTCTGGTGCCTTTAAGACCAGAGTCAAACAATAGGGCCTTGGGCCTCGGGTGTCTGCTTCTCCTGGAGGGCTGGGTAGCCTTCCTGATTCTGCCCTCAGCGAGGGTCACATGACTCATGCCAGCAGACACTGCGCCCTGCCCCGGGAAACTGCACTGCTTGTGGTTACCACACCAGGCAGGAGTCAAGGGCTGCGGGCCCCAGAAGGACCTGGGCCAGGCACCATTGGAAAGCCTGGAGCCCCATCTGGCCCCCTGCCCTGAGCACAGTAGCCACCAGGGGTCACTGCAGCCCAGCGGAGCCTCCCACAGGAAGACTGTCAGAGGGCAAAACCTGACCCTGACAGTGCCACCAGGCACCTCTCCTTGGGGTCACCCTAAGTTGGGAAGAGGCGGGGCACCATGAAAGGAAGAACTGGGCTGGTCAAGTGTCTGCCTCCTTGAGCCCCAGGGGTATCACTGAGAACCGCTACACAGTCCCCAGGATAAGCCCCCACCCTCTAGTCCAGACAGTGCTGCCAGTCTTCGGGCAGCCTGAGGACCACCTACAGGTTCCGTGGAGGACGGACGTGGGGGCGTGCCGGCAACTCGGGATGAGCCGGGACCTCCCAGGTCCTGGAGCATAGGCCCCACAAACACCCCTTCAATCGCGGTGCGAGGACGTGGTGGGTCCCTGAGACCGCCAATGGGTTGTGTGCAAATAAGTTTGGTGTCTGAACCCACACCATGGTGCCGTGGAAGAAGGATCTGGTGATCTGATCCCCTAGAAACTGCTATTAGTACTGTCTGGTCAGTTCGACTGGCCCCATGCCCAACAGAGCCAAGCACTGCCCGTCCTGCCATCCTCGTCCCCACTGCACGTTTGAGCCCATTGTCACCATTGTGTCCATCCATCTTGCCAAGGGACTTCCTCTCCTTTTTTCACTGCCCGCGACTTTACCAAGCAGTGTCTACCAGGCACTGGTCTCCTGACAACACGTCCAGAGGCGCTGGCGAAAGTCTTGCCATCCTTGACTCTGGGCAGCCTTCTGGCTGTACCTCTCCAGGGCCGCTCTGCTCCCGGCAGTCCTCGAGAGGTACTCGGCCAGCACCGCGCTCCAAAGGCAGCAAGGCTTCCGTCTTCACTGTACGGTTGTCGCCTCCAGAGGCGGCGACTGCAAACACCAGGGCTTGGGTCAGGTGTATCCAGTCTTCAAAGTGACGGCCTGGCGTTTTGACCCTTGAAAAGAGGTCTAGTGGGGAAGATCTGCCCCAGGCAATATATCATTAATTTCCTGGTGTCAGTCTCTTCTCATGGACACGAGCGGATTGTTTGGTTTGATGTGGAGGTTAACCCCACTGAGGGGTGTAGGCTTTGATCTCCGTCATTAAGTGCTTCAAGTCCTCTGTGCCTCAGCAGACAAGGTGGTGTCCTCTACACATGGCAGGTGTTACGGGTCTTTCTCCCGTCCTGATGCCAAGTTCTTAAAGGCCAGCTTCTTGAATTACTTTCTCAGCGTCCACCCTGTCACACACCTTTCCCGATTTTTAAAAAAAATCCTTTTATTGGGGGCTTGTACAACTCATCACATCCATCCATTGTGTCAAGCACATTTGTATATTTGCTGCCGTCATTTTCAAAACATTTTCTTTCTACTTGAACCCTTGGTATCAGCTCCTCGTTTTCCCCTCCCTCCCCATCTTTCCTGAGCTTAAGCGCATGTATTCCCTGGAACTAAGATCACAGCCAGGAACGCCCTATGGAGTGGTATGCTCTAACCCCGGGGCAGTGGTGCACGTGTGCATGTACATACGCCAGGCTCGGGAGAAAAGTCCGCTCCCCTGAACAGCTTAGGGGGTGCTCCCACCATTCCTCCAGCTCCTCAAGCACTGCAGCGGGCAGGCTGACAAACTGCAGACTCCCCGCCCTGTGCCCAGCAGTCACGCGTGCGATGGA